TTTAAACAACATAAATATTTCTCTTTGTATTTCACACTTTGACAAAGGATATTCCTATGTTAGTTGTTTATATAGGTCATTTTGGAGCATTTGAGATTACTATTAATCAAAAACTTGGTGAAACTCTTGTTCTAAAACTAATTTTTTTTTCCTGCTTCAGTTGTGGAATGTGAGCACCTTAATCTTAGGATTAAGTTCCTACACTTACAAGTGCTAACATTGAGTGTAATCATGAATGTTGCTTACAAAATCACTGAATGACTTTGTTAAAAATTTGTACATCTTCTATTGTTCTCCAAACAAAAAGTTATTCTGCTCTTTTAAAAACTCCCTGATTTGTGAAAATAGAGGATAGGAAGAAATAATGGATTTTTTTCCTCCATTCAGGTGCCTTATGCGTAGTAGGAAAGCAAAACATATTTTGAAGCAATCTGATGTCAGTTACACTTTGGAAAAGACACCATGTTGTTATACAGGGAAAAGCAATTTCTGGCCAAAGAAAGACTTGCTGGAGCTATCTCATTTCAAATTCCTCTAGTGTGTGTGTGTGTGTGTGTGTGTGTGTGGGGCTTTTTTGTGGAAAGTATCAGGGATTTATAAGCTAGAAGCAGGAGGCCAGAGCATAGTAGAGGAGGGGACAGTAGATGTTAAGAAAGAGTTTCAGAAACTGTCTCGTAAATCTTCCAGAAGAGTAACTTATTTTCCCCAGAAGATTTCAGTATAGCGTTTCGTGCAGGAGCAGGATATGTGTTTTTTCAGAATGCTTAATGTTTTAATGTTTCTAGCAAGTACGAGAAGGGAGGAGTCAATGGAAGAAGCCCTATTCAAGGGGACCTCATGCTCAGGGCTGGATGTCACATGCTGATCAGTGGAATCCACTTGCTTAATTTGTGCCAAAATACAAGTTGTCCAAAGCAGTATGAAGGCAATAAGCATCTTTGCCGTTGCTTATTTTGTGGGAGAAAAGTCTCTTGTATCTATTGTTCTGTGAAACTGGTGTTACAAAGGAGGAAAACTTGTTATATTGGATAAAAATTCCAATTACCCTTTGGTATAAGTGAGGAAGATAAGAATCTGAATGATCTTTTTTGTATGCAAGTCAGTTTTGTATACAGGTGGGTGAATTCATGGTTTGTTTTATGCAGAAGAAGCAAGGGTGTCTTACACTGTCCAGGCCAGCAAAGGTGTGTTTAGAAAACTTCCTCATTTAAGGAGTCTTAAAGTAAATTTTTCTTGACCAGCAGTGGATATTTGTCTGCCTCTTTCATGTTAAAATCTTGATCTGCAGATACAGGCTTATATAACCCTTTTCTGAAATATCCTGTTGAATATGCAGAAACCATAGGACATCTGCTCTTACTGTTTGTTTGCATGTGTCTCTGGCCTCTTAAAACGGAGCTGCATAGCTCTACTTTTAAGTAACGATGCCATCAGGCAAACTATTCATTTCAGTTCAGTGAGGTTTGTGTGATGATTTTGTGCAGTGTCTACCTAAATTTGGTATTTAAAATGTCTGTACAGGAAAATATTGCCATATATTCAAGTAATGATGGAAGAATACAATCCTGCAGTAGAAAACCATATAAGAAAATCCTCTTTTGTGTTTGTCTGCAATTTTGTACACATTTATTGTCTTCATTGAAGAAGATTGCTCGGCAAGGTTGTTCACTCTGCAAGGCTTGATTCTTGCTGGCTTCTTTGGTAGTATCATTATGGTAAAACTCCCTTTGTGCAGGTATCACAAGTTGGGTTGACAACTGGAAAACAAATGGCTGGAGAACAAGCTCAGGAGGAAGTGTGATAAATAAAGAAGATTTTGAAAGACTTGATAGTCTATCAAAAGACATTGAGATCCAGTGGGTAAGCACCTCCCTTAATGACTCCTTGAACTCTCTTTTTTTGCTATGGTCATAGTTCTAAGATTTTAGAATTTTATAGAGCATAATGTTGTTGTACATCATTAAATATGAGGTTGCCTGTTTTGTGCAATGCAAGTAAGTTTATTAGTTAAATATAAGCAAGTCTCTTGCAACCAATATTGCATTATTAAAAGCAATCGTTTATATTTGTTTGCTGTCCTTTGTTACTTCTTGGAAAATGGATGTAATAATTATTTTCAGTTTGCTTGAGCTGCTAATAGAAGAAATTACTGTTCCTGAAAATCTCCATTTTAAGCATATAATCTGAGTTGTGGCTCAAATTCTGGATTTGCATTTCAGAATTCTTTATATGTTGGTTCCTCAGTGCAACTTCATCAAATTAATTCTTCAAACTGGAGATGACTGGAGAGTATAACCCCCAAAGAAGCTAATTTCAGTTTCCTCTATTGTAATTTTGCTCCCCCTTCCTCTTTCCTCCTCCTACCTACTCCTCTGCTGCTATATAAACCGTAGCATCCCGAGTGGCTATTGGTCTTAGTGGCCCAGAGGTGTCTGGCTCTTGGGTCACGGAAGGCAGAGAGTTTTTCTCTCACCCTCTGAAAGTCTAGAACAACTTCTGTGTTGGTATTCCTGATGAAACATGTTTTTGTAACCTCTAATTTCACTGCTAAACATTGTAGGTGGATGTCTTCCCCTTCCATCCCCCAATTTGAATATAGCCAAAGTATTGAATCTAGAAGCAGATCTCTGTACCACTGACTTAACTGTTAATAACGTCACATTTATTTGGTTTCTGCTTTAGTGGATGGAAAGTGGATGGGGCTTTTTTTCTTTCTTTCTTTTCTTTTTTTTTTTTTTTTTTTTTCCTTCCACCCTCTTAACTTGTACTTTTCCCAGCGGAAATTTATTGCAAATATTTTTGTGTATGTTGCTCTGTGTTTTGGAGTTGGCCACCATATCTTAAAGACTGACTTAATTTTATGCAGCTATTCCTATTATCTGTAAAGTAAAACTGTAAATATCTAAATCTAAAGCCAAAGTTCAGGGGCTCTTAGTATATTTCATGTAAAAGAAAATTAAATACTCATTCCAACTGAATTGGCGGAGCAGCACACTTGGGCACTTCTGTTTGGTTATGTGCTGCCTGTGGTTCTTCTCTGTGCTCTAGGAAGCTGTATGGGCAGAGGGGGATCAGCAGGTGGAACACTGTCCATTAAAGAAAACACTTACATGCAGCAAGACATTAGCCTGAACTGTGTGTGCAGTGTCTGAGGGCCAGATGGTCAGCATCTATTTGAGGGTTTGGTGAAAATTGCCAGAAATGGTACTGTTAGATATAGTGCTGGGTTTTAGCATATAGATATAGTGTTGGGTTATAGCATATGACATGGGTGGGCTTTCTTTTTTATTAAAAAATTAATAAAAAAATAAGTTTGGGGATGCTGTAGCAGTTTCCTTGATGTGAGGTATATTTTCTTCCAGTTTGCATCTTGGCATCTCTAAGCTGTAGTTTCAAAAATTATTATATATAAACCGTAGCATCCCGAGTGGCTATTGGTCTTAGTGGCCCAGAGGTGTCTGGCTCTTGGGTCACGGAAGGCAGAGGGTTTTTCCTCTCACCCTCTGAAAGTGGGAATCTGCTTTTGACCCAGAGGGTCTGAGTCTTACTGCTCTTCTGTTACAGGCTGGGCTGGGTGGTTCCTTGCCCTGTTCACGCTCCTCGTGAAGTTCTTCACAATTTGGCAAGACTCCTTTGTTAGTTATAGGTAGGCTTACTGGGAAGGACACCTAAGGAGTGAATGGGAGGACACTGCTGCTCTAAGAAGCACTTATCCACTATACGATGAAGTGGATATTTTTTTCCTGTTTGTCTCGATTTCTTGCATGTGTGATGCTCTTAGACTCTTATTTTAACAGATGCATATTCCTGGTCATGCTGGTTTCCGAGGAAACGAAGAAGCTGATAGACTGGCAAGAGAAGGAGCGAGTAAACAAAAATTGTGACATACTGGGACTAGAAGCTGTTGCAGTCGGAGGAAAGAACTAGCATCGCAACGACAGGTTGACCTGCTGTAACTGTTTCAGAGTTGAACTTCGAACTGTATTTCTACATAGCCTGAGACTTTAAACGTACACCAACTCATGAGGAAAAACATGTGGTTTTTTCTGTAGTGTTTGTCTTACCATCAAGTCAATATTTAGTCAATGGTATACAGAGTTTTGCTTGTTCCCCATCTTACTGATGTCTGTGTTTTTTTAACTGTCTCATATAGACTTGAATTCGCTATAAATGAGACCTCTGATGAGGTAATATTAAAGTGTTATCCTGATTTGTGTTCTGTATTTCCCTTTTTGTGAAATAAATTAAGTTTTTGTACTGAGGTATCATTAATAGCGCAAAAAAAGTGTGGATGGGGGGGGCGGGGAGGCTGGATGTATGGGATGGGCGAGGGAGAAATCAGTGACCCAATAACTGTTAATGTGTTTTGGCACTGTGGCAGTAGCTGTAGTATCTTTAGAAGTAGATTTGTTACATTTACATGAGGTTCACGGTATCATCAGTTCTAGCATCTGTGGTTTGATCATGCTGCAAACTAGCAGGAACAAATTAAAAAGCGTGCTCACAAAAAAAACTAAACAAACCCTTTTTTACCACTCTTCTTAAGGCTGCTTGAATTTCCAAGCTCTTTCTTGCTTCCTCTTTCCCATAACTTGTTTGTTTCCTGTATCTTGGTTCTTGTTAGCCTTACTGAATTGTCTTCCCTGTTGTCCCATTGTCTTTTACCTGAAATGGAACCAGGAGACCATCAGCTTCTGCAGATTTCATGCTGGCCTTGATACAGTTTTTCCTGTTCGTAATGGGATTAATGGAATGGTTACGTAATGGGATTAATGGAATAGTTAACAAGTACAGACAGCTTGAACTACTGACAGCTTTGTTTTTATATACGTTTAATTAGTCATTTTTAACAAGTCTGGTATGTTACCTTTGTCTACCCTTTTTGTAAGGCATTTAATACTATTTTTTAGTGGTATTAAAGCTAGAAGTCATTTATTGTTATTATTTTAATAGGAGAGCCGAAGCTTAATTTATTAGTAGTTGTCTGTCTTTGCATTCCTCTTGCTTTCTTACTTAAACAGGAGTACATGCTGTCTCGTGTGTTCTGAGCCATACGAATTGATAGACGTAGGAAACTGGGTAGCTGCTAGTTAATAGGTGAGCGATTTTTTTTTTTTTGTCTTCTCCCATACAAAACTGCGCTATAAAACTAATCTAGGAATGAGGTAGCATGGTAATTATATTTTGTTGCTCTTTCATCTACTTTATTCTTTAAGAATTCTGATTTGAAGGAGAACATCCTGTCTTCTCTCATCGTCTGTCTAGTTAAAGCGTGAAAGTGTGATAAGCAGCGTAGTGGGAAGGTGGCATCTGTGTGGGCCTGTGTTCAGGAAAGCAGCAGCTTTGAAAAATGTGGTACATAACTGACGTTATGATTATCCCTCATTAAGGAACTCAGCTGCCTGCAGAACTCTTGAATGTGGAAACTGGGAATCTCTAATAAGAAACAGTCTCATGTTAGTTTAATATAAGCATGCACCGTCTTCATCCTGGATATTTGGAGTAGAAGAAAGGTTAGAGGAGAGTTTTTGAATTTGGAGTGGTTAGAGGATGGAAAGCGAAGGGTGTTTCTCAGCAGGACTGAACTTGAGAACCTCAGGGCTTGTCAGCCCTCCTTCAGAGGGAACAAAAGCTCTGGACCTGGTCTGGCTGGGAGCTGGGTTTGGGCGATTCTAAAGCCAAATGTGAACTGTGCCAACACTAGAATAGCTGCTGTGTAGTGCTGTGGGGGCACAGCTTTATTTGGAGTTGATAACCAGTGTTACTTATACATTGTAGATGATACGTTCGGGTAATCTGGTAATATTTCTGAGACTCCAGGAAAGGGGTAAGATTAGACGGCTCTCTTTCTCTTTCGCACTCTACCTCCTCATTCCCCCGCCCAGAACCACAGAATGGTTGAGGTTAGAAGGAACCTCTAGAGCCCTTACCGTTAAACACCAACACTGTTGCTCAAACACAGTTTCTGGCCCAAAGACCGTAAAACTAAGCTCGAAGCAGGCTGAACAGGGCCTGTGGCGCAGAGCTGAGGGACAAACCTGCTGAAGACTGAAGGGAGAGCGGCAGAAGGGAAGGCT